CCAAGCCACTATCCTCTCTGGTATCTAGCCTGGTACATGGAGGAGAATAAAGTTAATTAACTAACTAGTATTAACAGAGATTAAATGGCAAACACTGAAACAGCTACATATGAACACGCTATCAAATAGCTTAGAGGCTGCTGAGTCAGCAGGCAATCTCAAGCTGGTGGGTTTTTTTTGAAAGGTCAGAAAAACCAGAAGAAACAGGTATGCAAAGCCAGACAAGCCCCCAGGACCTAGGAAAAGTTACAAGCATGTAGCACACTAGGAAATAGAGAAAAGTCTGTTCAAATGAGGAAACAGAATAAAAATAAAAGTCGGCTTAATTGACCGTCTGTGTATCAGGTTCAGCCTCGCTGGGAAAAAGTCACCGAACTGCAGAGAGAATTTCACCTGTATTTTTAGCAGAAGTATCTGAATTTGTAATATTCCTGCTGGGTCTACCCCATATATTCTACAAACTGACAAAAGCTAAATCATGAGGACAACACAGTCATTTCTCTGCCTATTCTGAAGCCTGAGGGCTCATGCCCAGGATCTTGCACTGGATCCTACACACTTCAGTGACCAGCCAGAAAAACCTACCAGCTGGCCATGCCCTAAACTTAGATGAAATTAAGGTTCAGCTATTGCCTTCAGTCACAGCTCTGTGTGCCAGCTGACAGATCACTGTCAGAAACACCTTGGTCATGTGCTTTTGTAAACTGGAAATGTTACTAACTGGCCTTACTCCCTATCTTTTAAGGTCTCTAAGTGAAATAGCAGATGTACGTAGTAAGTTTTCAGGGAGGACAGCTTTCTAGGCATACAGTTGGATATGAAAGTACACTTTTATTGACCTATTTTTAGAGGAAACATCTTGTTTCCCAGCCTTATAGAGGGAAAAAAAGTCATCCTCCAGCTTCAAGCAAAATTTCAGCTTTGTCCAGGCAGCAGACTGTGTCCCGGTGGATGGAAACAGTCCAGATACAGTGGGGATGCAGCAATCAAGACTTCTTTAGTGTTCGCTTAACTTCAAAAACCACGCTCAGGCAGGCTTCAGGACAGGTACACTTTCCCCGAACAGCACTGAAGATTTGTTGGAGGGAGTCATAAAAGTTAACGTGCTGGTCAGAGTGGCTTACTTTAATTGCATGATTTAATTAGCAGATCAACACTTTGCTACACAATTTTCAGATTTACTTTCATCACATTCACTGCTCAGTGGTTGTTAATAAAGTCTTAATTAAAAGAAAAAAACCCTCAGACTTAATTGAAGTGACCCTTGTCAATATGTGTAGAAGACGAGACGTTACACAGCTAGTAACGAGCACATTAACGAGTCCATCTCTGCACTGGAACAGACTTTCTAGTTCGCTATTTGCTAGGTAAGAAATAGATTATTTTTTAAAAAAAGAAGCCGTATTTCATCATCCTTTGCTTCGTCCTCTTATTTTCTTGCTCAGTAAAATATGCTAGTTTCAGCATTAAGGACTTAATTAGCTTTTTACACTGCTGCTGTTAATAAGAACAAATGGATCAACTTTTAACCTCAAAACTGTATCACTCATAGCTGCCCACTGAATCTAAAGTGTTTCTGGTCTCAGGCACAAAGCAGGAAGCACCATCAATATGTAAGAGGCACTTTCTTTAGAGAGTTTTAATGCATAAATCTGGAGGCCAGCTCCAGCAATGGTCAGTGCCATTTGTCACTCACTTCAGTACCCTTAATAATTTCAGAGTGAACTTTGAAATGCTCAGATACGCAAAGCAAAGCGGCACGGATCACCGGGCCCTACACCTCGGACCCCTCGCTAGGCACATGCTGAAAGGCTACAAGAGCCCAGTTGCCATCAGCTGCATGAAGAAAAACATCTCAACCAGTGCATCACCAGTTCTTTCCGAGCAGAAAAGTCACAGGAATTGGTACATGCCCTGCTGTTCAACTTAAGCAAAATCCTGAAGTGGCCCCGTTGCCGTTCTTTCGGCTTGAAAACTGCCTGTGCAGTAACTCTGGGTGACAATCTGACTCCAGGGCTGCACAAGGCAACTTTGGTTCTTGCTTCTGACAGACTGGAAGAGCTCTCCCCTTCCCACACAAACCTACTCAAATGTTACCAGCTCGCTGTACAAGTCTTTCAATGAACAGAGACATCTTTAGCAGCTAAATAGCAGAAAACAAATCCTAAGAAGTCCAGAGATTCCCTTTTTCACGTATACCATATGCAGACAGACACATACACACCAGCTACAGGAGACAGGCCAGTTATCAGAAGCTTTTAAAACCGAAATGCTGCTGTTTCAGTTGGTCTGCTCTCTAAGAAAACAGCCAGTGTTACTTGACATTCACAAATCGTACGAAGTAATATCTTTATCTGAATACTAATGCAAATTGGACGGGCTTTTTTATATTGATGTCTATTCTGTTGCTGCTGAATAGAGTGACCGCATGCTCAAGACTGCAAAGGAGTTCACTGACCTCCCTAATCATCTCTGTCATAGCCCCTGAATGACATACACATTCAATCCTGCCTCGCCTCTCTACTTTCATTCATAAAAAAAAAAAAAAAAAAAAAAGGGGGGGGGGCAAAATTTGACATTGTTCTTCCTGCGGCAGCCCCAAGAAAAGGAGAGAAGAGAAACTCAGCCCAGATGAGGCCCCTGGTGTTTTTAGTTTAGCTTCTATTCAGCAACAGCCCCGCCATCTGCCTCCTTCCTGCCAACAGCCGAACACCTCCCTGCGGAGATGTTAAAACCTGCACCCCCTCCACCTCCGCTAATAGTGAGTATTCATATTAGCAAACATACACATACCTCGAGAATGCCTCCCTTCAATGTGTGTTTTATGTAGCTGAGTATAGGCACAAAGCAGTAGCTGTTATAGCCTTCACAGCCCCGTGTGGAGAATTAGATCACTGGGGAAAAATCCTTCCAAGCCCCTTTATGGAAAATAAGGCCTTAGACTGTAAATGCAAAGCCCAGCGAACAACAACCCTCAGTAATGAGCCAATACCCCATGGCCCATTTGACTAGGAGAAAGAATTTGCTTTTTACCATTCAATTCAAAAAGACTGAAAAAGTAAAATGTGTTTTTACTTGGCTCTGAAGGTTTATATTCTTTACAGTTTCTTTTGCATAACCTTTCCCCCCCCAGGTCGGACGGGCAGCGGGTGCCCCTGTGCTGGCGGGGCCGCTGGCTTCGGCGCGGAGCCGGGCGAGCAGCACCGGCTTCACGCTTCCCCGCGCACGTGGTTGGTGGTGGCAGAGCCACCGGCATCGCCAAGCCCCCCCTGCCCTCACAGCCCCCCGACCCGGGAGCCTCCAGCAGCTCAAGGTGACGGGGCAACCCTTGGAGGCACGGCTGGGTGAGGGGGTTAACGGGAGCCCTCCGCTCAGGGCCAACCCCTGCTCCCGGGGAGCATGGGGGGCTCTGACAGGGACGCCTTGGCTTTGGAGAAAGCTGACAGAGCGGTAAGAGAGCCTGTCCTGACGATTTCCACCAGAGCCCCTGAAACTCCCAACCCATTGCTTCAGCTCACAGACATCGCCGGAGGAACGTTTCCCTCAGTGTGACCCCTGAGAACGCTACAATTCGAACAGCATCCTAAAGCCTTAACTTGCAAAGGTGTCTTAAGAGCCCCGGGAAGGGTTTAGCACCACCTGAACACATCACCAACCCCAAGCTACAGGCTGAAGGGGCGGGTGGAAACCCAGGGGACCATCGAGGTGGCTCCCCACCCCCGTGGGTTCAACTGTGCCCGAAGTGACAGCGCCAATATGTACTCCAGGCTAAACCAGGGACAACTGGGGACACTTCGCTTCTGCCTCTTCCCACCCCTGTGACCAGCACAGGCTGCTCGCTTCCTCCCGCGCACCGACCTCATCTGCTCTGACCAAGTCGCTGAGATGTTGCCCCATAAATCAATTCTTTTGGCTGTGAAAAATGAGCCAAACGAGTTACACTAAGAATCTGGTGTTTTATTAGGACTTTCTTGAAAACAAAACCAACCCCCGGTGTGATTTATAGCTTTAACCAAAAGGGGTATGAAAGTAATGCCCCCACCCCCCAGCCTCCACGAAGCCCATTTATTCCCCTGTCACTTTTTTGGCAAACAGGCTTCAAACCCTTTCCTGAACAATGGAAACTTTCTGCTGGGTACATGCAAGCCCAAAGACTGGGGGCTGCGAGGGGGCTCCCTTCCATTAAGGAGCTTTGAAAAATAAACAGAGATTCAGGTAGCAGCTGAAGCGTATCAGAGAGATACAATGTTTCAAACCCGTCACATAGTATTAAAAACAAAACAAAAACAAAAACCACCAAAAAAACACCCCCCACCAAAAACCCAACAGCTTTTGTCTGACGTGTTAACTTTTTTTCACATGCAACTGCAGTGCTGCCACTTGTGGGGAGATCTTCACTGCCCTCCCTGAAATGCAGGTCCCCTCTCAGCACAGCCCCGGTTCTTAAGTTGCGATGCAGCGTGTGCCCACCTGGAGTTGTCACAACTCCGGTTTTTCTCCCAAGATGCGGATCTAAAAACGGCCCTTCCTTACTTTCCCCGCTCGAACACGCACAGCCAGAGTGTTTCGGACGGTGCGCTCAAGATGCGCGCTACCACGTACGGAGGCACCTTCCCTTCCCCACCCGTTCTTGCAAACACAGCCACGGGGTCAAACCCGGAGTGCTGCAGCCGCTGGGAGAGAACTCCTGGGAGACCGGGATCGTCTTAAAACGGTTTTTTTCCCTCCTGGCCGCCTCTGCGGCTTGCCCGAGCCGCGGTGAGAGGCGAGTCCCCCCCCCCCCCCCGGCCCAGCCGCCGCCGCCCCCCGGCCCCGCTCCCTGCCGCCTTCCCACCTCCCGCACCAAAAAGCCGGCTCCGGCGGTTTCCAGCCGCACCCCCCTTTTACCCCGCAAAACCCGGAGGCGGGGGGGGGGAAGATCACAGCGCTAAACTCGGTTCCCCCCCCCCCCCACCAACTCCACAGCGCGGAACACGTGTTGCGCGGCCGCGCAGCCTTACCTGCCGGCTGCCCGCCGCTCCTCTCCGCCGCCGCCCCGCCGCCCCGCCGCCCCGCCGGCAGCCCGCCGACGGCCGCCGCCAGGCACAGGCACCAGACGGAGCCCCAGGCCGCCCGCATGCCTCCGGCGCGGCGCCGGGGCAGGGCCGCCGCCGCACCGCCCGCCTCAGGCATCCCCCAGCCGCATGCTGCCGCCGCTCACCGCTCCGCTCCGCCGCCGCGCTGCCGGGAGAGGGAGAGAGGCGCTCAGGGAGGGAGGGGAGGAACCCCCCCCCACCGCCCCTGGTGCCGCGACGGGGGAGGAAAAAGGAAAAAGAGTAATAATAAAAAGGAAAAATAGTGGTCGAATGGACAAAAAAAAAAAAGTTAGGGGGGGTGGGGGGGGTAAAAAAGCGCAAGGGGACACGCGCAGCCCGGGCGCGGAGCGGCGGCGGGGCGCCTACCTGCGCAAGCCCCGCGGCCGGCCGCGCACCGCGCATGGAGGGAGGCAGCGAGCGCGCCCGCGGAGCCGCCGCCCGCCCTCCCGCCGCCGCCGCGGCGCTCCTGCGTCTGCTCGGCGCGGCGCGGGCGCGGAGCGGGGCGGCCGCGCTGTCCCCGCCCGCCGGGCCGGGCCGCCCCGCCCCGCCCGCGCCGCTCCGCGCCCGGCCCCGCCGCTGCGCGGGGGGGGGGGGGGGGACGGTCCCCGCGGGAGGAGGGAAGGGGGCGGCCGGGGGCTGCTGCGCTCTCCCGCCCGGCCCCTGGGGTGAAGCAGGCACCCTTTTCTCACGTCTGTGAGCTTCAAGTTGGCTCAGAACCCCGCGGCCGCGCTCCCGCTGCGGCTCCGGAGTGGCACCGTGTGCCGCGACACGCACCCGCGTGTTTCCTTGCTCTGGCCCGCTAACAGCGCGCTTTCTGACAGGAGGCCGGGGGGGTTGGGGGGGGGGGGGGGTCCGTGGGCCGGGGGCAGCAGGGAAGCGGCGTGTGGCACTGCGGCTCAGCCCGAGGGCTCGCACAGCGAGCGGGCAGCGCACACCCCCCCCCAACCCCCCCCCCCCGCTGCCCCGGCGGGGTTCCCACGCTGTACCCCAAAGCGAAGCCACCAGCGTGCAACCAGCTTCGAGAACCCTGACTTCACTCACCACTCAGAATCGCTGTGTTTTATTGATGGGAGTAATCGCAGCCTCCACGGGCTCTGCGTGTTTGCTGCCGCTAACTAGACTAGCTACTTTAATAAAATCTGATTAAATGTCACTTGTATCAAGTTACGATTGCAATGATCTAGTCACTATCACAGTTACGGTTTGGGATACTTTGGTCATCTCAGAGCCCCCCAACATGGCCGAGCTGCCTAAGTGACATGCATCAGTTCTTGCTGACAAGCGATCCGAGCTGCCTCGTACAGAGAAGTCACAGCTCTGCTTTAATCCCCCTTGACGTAGCAGCTCTTTCACTGAAAATAGATGCAAGTATTATCAGAGCTGACAGTGCTCCGCGTAGGGGGGCCCCAAAAAACCCAACCTGCGGAACAGTCAGGCTGAGGTTGTTCAGCTCGGAGAAATGTGCAGAGAGCCGGGGGAAGCGCGGGGGTCTGGCTTTCGGCGAGGGTGTGCGGTGGGGATCGCTCGTGGCTGCCGTGGCAGGCTCGGAGTTCATGCTGTTGTCGCAGCGACCGGGATCTGTCTTGACACCTTTATCAGGCACAGAGACTCTGACATCTCAATACCGTCGCATTGTGTGGGGAAGCATTGAGACAGGGCTGCTGCAAGGAAATCCTACATGTCAGCGGAGACCCTCGCCAGTGACACCATCGGTTTAAATGAAAACCATGGGGGGAAAAGCAGATGTATAAATAAAATGTGGTTATTTCACCGTCACAGAGATGGCTTGGTGGCATGTCAAACTGCGTGATGTTTGCTCTCACAACTGCTGGGCTGGAGGTGCCAGAAAATCGATAAAAATAAAGACAACAGCAGCGGCATAATTATAAGACTGCATGGGGAGCTGTTTCCGTCATTCTTTTGAAGATGACTTTTTGCAAAAGCAGGGCCAAATTCTGATCTCACGTAAAGTCAGCAGGGTAGGAGCAACACCCATTATTGTTACTGTTATGCTCCCCATTTTACAAGATGAGAGCAGCGAAGGAGGATCAGGAGCCTTCCTAAGCCCACAGCTGAAATAGAAGCCTAAGTGAGAATTCAGGGTTTCTCGCACTGTGACTGTGTTTCAGAAGCGCCACAACGACTGTTCCTCCGTGCTGGGTGAAGGCAAACGCTTTTGGCGTTACTCCTCGAGTGGGGTGATAGGGTGGAAATGGCCGATCTGAACCTGGGGAATTTTAAGGTTGCTGGGAGATTTAAAGGTCTGCATCTCAGATCAAGTCAGCTCAGCCCTTTAATGGTTTTGAAGTGGTTTTCATTTGGAGGAAAACTAAAAGCTTATAACATTTGGAAGCCCTTTACAACAGGAAATCAAAGGGGTATTGAGATAGTCCTGTATGAAGGACTTCAAGGTTTGCAGTTTTCCCTAGAGTGGGATATTTTTAGGTTTCCCATTTATTAACCTCTGGTGCAGCAAACTCACGTGGGGCTGAGGAGCACAGACCTGATTAAGTGCGGATTTTCTGATGCTGCTTTGTCACTGCGGTGGCCACTGTAACAGAGCTCAGGATGTAGTGCTGTGCAGCAAAAACTACGGCTCTGGACTGTGTCTCAGCCACTTCCTTACTATCAAAAAAATCCATGTACATATACTAGTAAACCCCGCACAACACAAATGCATTTATTTTAGGACTACTATGCCATAAGCCACAAATTAGCCCCAAAGTTTTCCTTCCCCCTCAAGCTGGGAGAATCCACTCCCCTTCGTGCAGGGATAGTCTCAGTGCCGATGTGTTTGTTCTCCTTTTACCCTTTATAAACATTCCCTTCCCAGAACTTCGTATTTGTTTATCCCCTTAATATCCCGAGCTGTCAGTGATGAAAATCAAACCCCTTTCAGCAGCTCAGGGATGGTGAATGGCTGCCCTTTTCCGACAACATGGTCAGCAGTGCTCTCAGTGTCCAAGCCTGTCACTGTCATGCTCCCACGGCATCTCCATCTGCCCGGACCCCGCTGGGGGCTCAGCCACTGACAGCAGCTGTCCTGGGAAGGTTTTGGGGGGCCTTGCATGCCCTGGGGGCATTGGCATTGCTAAAACCCCTCTCTCTCTTCATGCTTCTCCAAAGCCCTGCCTGGGAGGGAGGCTGCTCATCTCTCTCTCTGAAAGTGCAACTTGTTGATAGTCTCAAAATAAGCTAAACACAGGCTGCTGTCGGCAAAATCGTCTCCAGGAGCGAATGCTTTGAGTCCCTTCTGCCTCTCCATCCAGAAGATGAGGATGGGACAGGCTGTAAGGTGCCTGTCCGAAAGCCCTTGGGGCCGAGGCTTCTCATGAGTCACCTTTGGTGATATTGCTGGAAGGGAGTGTGGGATGTGCGGTGGCATGAGCCTCTTCTTTTCTCCCCGCAGCCTCTCTGGTGCAGCGTTGCAAGGCACTCGCCTGCACATCTGAGCTGTCGCATTTACCAAAGCCGACAGCGGAGCCCAGTAAAGATCTTGCAAAAATGATACTGGAGACTGGTACCTCCGTACATCTCTATCCTCACAGAACTTGCTTCCTTAGCAGGCAGAAAGCAGTTCCCGAATCAACACTGAGTTGGAGCAAAACAATGAAGTAGGTGAAACTTTAATTCAAATTTTAATATGCTGTCAAGTTTGATTAGAGATGCGGTCACATGAGTTTCTGAATCATATCAGGTTAGGTACACACAATAAATATGGCCAAATATTCCTTATCAAAAATGGGACTTGTTAGCCAGCTTATGAGCCAGAAAGAGTGTTGCAGCCCCACAGTGCTGTAACAAGCTGTTCTTTCAGCCTCACGAACTGTACAAGTTCACATGAGACTGAATTGAAATATTGGTTCAGATATCAGTGTCATGTGCATGAGTAGAAGCCCAAACTGTCCGCTCTTTGCATCCAAAGGTTAAATAGCATCGGTGGATGCAGATGCTGGGGTATGTTATCCAGAGCTCATGTCACTGTCAGTTTATATCAATAAGGTACACTGAAATGGCTAAACCGTTTTTTATTAGCTAGCCAGCCCAAAGGACTGCAATTCCAGGCAGGTTTATTGAATTTCAAGCCGATAGTTGGTGTTGCTAAGATTAAGGATCCAAATGAGTATCAGGGTAAACACTGTGAGAGATTAAGCCACCCTGTGAAGGCTCTCTCTGTGCCTGCACCCTCAGTGAGCTGGTTGCAACACAACCTCGACCTGTGGGATTTGTTTCCCACCTAACAGCACAGACAGACGAGGAGTAAGAGGGCTCTGCAAGAGCTGAGTTGTTTGATTTGAAGTGAAATAAGAAGGAATGAGTGAGCTGGAGAGACACAACGAGGCTCTTCTGGAGAGCTACATACAGGGAGGTGCTGGCAGAGGTAACAGAATTTGGCAGCCTGGAGAATGAAGTAGATGACTGGAGAAAGCAGAGAGGAAAAAAAAAAAACAAAACAAAAAAAAAAACCAAAAACAAAACAAAACAAAACAAACAAACAAACAAAAACAAAAAACAAACAAAAAAAAAAAAACAACAAAAAAAAAACAAACCCAAAACAAACTGGAAAGAGCCTGTGGAGGGTGTGAGAAGCAAAGGTTTAAAATCAGACCTTGAAATAATGCTGACTCAGCACAGCAGCCGTGTGCGCAGCTGGGGGACTGCACTGGGGTCACGAGAAGCTCTCGGAGGTGCCACTGACCGCCAACACAGGCTGGGTGTTCCCTGTCCTTGGAGTAAACCAAGACAATGCTCTGGAGCCTGGAGAGGAGACAGAGATCACTTCTGCCTGCCAGACCTATTCATGCCATCACCATGTAGGACATTTCAAGCAAACGGGCTGGAGCGTTGCACTTGTGGATGAAGCAGTACGCCTTACTTTGGGGGGCATTTCAATTGGAGGTGCAACCTGTTTAATCCCCCCCTAGCCTGTGCAGGCTGATAGCTGTGAGGAGAAGCCACACGCTGCCAAGATGAGTTTCTGGGAGCCTGATGGCTGTACTTAAAGTCTTCTCCCTTGGATGCGACCAGAGATTACCAAAGGGTACTGACTGCTTGCCGCTACCTGTCCACCCCAGCTGCCCATCTACAGCAGGGGGACACAGAAATACCCCTTGTCTTCAGCCCTTCAGAGATGTCACACGTCAGACTCCTCCCCAGGTCCTGGACACATCCTTATCCTCCTTTCTCCAGGGCCTTTTCCCCTGCTCTTCCCCACTCTGAGGGCAGAGGGATGCGTAGTGAGCATCATGGGAGCTTTCAGAAAATTTATTTATCCTAAAATAAATACAAGCTGAGGCCTTTCCTCTGTTAGGGATGGCAGAATTTGAGTCAGTGTTAGGGCGTTATTACTACGACTTTTAGGCAATATCTTGCTCAGTGGCACGCTGTCTTGGTTCAGGGGAAGGCTCAAATATGGGGACAA